ACAGGTAACGGTTATATCGATGAGTTAATGACAGGTCATCCACTAAGATGCTATGAAAATTTTAGGATGAACCCACATGTATTCCTGCGTTTATGTTACTGATCTGTGACATTTTCTTGAACAGGTGGTATATTCTCAGCAACCCTTGAATGTGCGTTCTGTTAAAGGAAAGAAACTATCAGTGCAATGTCATACCAAAGGATCATATTTTCAGTAATATTAGATTTTAATTTATTCTTACATTAAACTAAATATGCTAGCTTCATTATGAAAACACATTGTATTAAACGGAATGTAAAAAAACTCTTAAATTTGTTTGGTGGGGAATTTATTTTCATCATTTCCAATGCAGCCAAAGACTCACTATTTTTTGGCTTGAGAATATGATGGACTAAAGCAAAATGGCTCACTAAACTGTCTGCGCTTCTTTGTTACGAAGCAGCACTTGGTTCATGGTTAATGCAATTTTCAATGCGATTTTCATCATAGGTCATCCGGAAACAGTCTATCCATGCTATAGTACAGGGGTAAGGCTGCGTACATCCGACCCTCCCTTACCCCACCGTAGGTGGGACTGTGGGAGCCTTTGAGGCACTAGAATAATGTTGTTGTTGTTGTTGTTGTTGTTGTTGTTTCTTGAGGGAGTTAGTAGGAGAGGGACAATATTTAATGTATTCCTGCGTTTATTCTGATGAACATGTCACTCTTATTGAACTTTCAGTGTTGGAGAACATTTATGTTATTTTTTTGTTATTTCAAATGTCCCTTTAAATGTACATTTCTTTTTCGAAATATTAAGTCAACGTTGTCTGGTAAAAATGAAATGAAAATTGAAAACTTCTGGTAAACATGTTTTATGAATTGGAAAACAAAAAACTGGAAAATGAAAACAGAAAATTGAAGGCTTGAAAACAGAAAATGAAAACGGAAAAATATTTCTGTTAGTAAATGGGCCCTTAGTTTTCTTCACACGCTAAATATTACTTCGTGCTATGATTCATGGTACTATACCTAGTAATGATCAACTTTGCTATAGGTACCTCATTTTGTACTTCACCCTATTTTTGTGGCTCACAAAAGCCCAACACATTAAATGAATTGCTCAATTTTAATGAAGTGCATTTGTGAGCCACAAACATAGGGGTTGATACAAAATGAGTACAAAATGGGGGTAGCAATAGCATTTTTCTATTAATGATAGTATCTACTAAGACCGAAAAGTAATGACGTTCCAGCAATTAAAAGTTGACATATGTTACGCCAAAATGTACTCGACACGCATTTGGCACGCATCTAACACACATCTGGCACAGATTCGTGGATCCTTGAAATAAACTTGCCAAAATTCCTTGTGAACTGGTTTTGCGACAACCTAGCTATTTTGTACGGAACTGTGCCAAAAGTCTATGTTGAACTAATCTATGAGAAATTCATGTGAAGGTATAATTTTACTACCAAAAAAGACTTCAGAGAGACAGTAAGAGAGAGAAGAGTGGTGCTTACTATGTGTGCCGCCAAGGGCATTGACGGCGTGAAGGAAGCATGAGTGAAGATGGGGAGTCCACCGGAGACGAGGCACCATTGATAAAATCGAGAGAGAGAAAGAAAAGAAATTGTGGGCAAAACTTACTCAAAAGGAAGCTCGCCGTTATGAAGTTGGAGTTTGGGTGGGTGCTGGTTCAGGAGGGTATATATACTCAAGGAGTAGAGATTAGAGAATAATCTTAGCTTGAATATGATTTCCTCTACCTTCCCATGGATTTCAAGACGGACAACAACCTTGGGTATGCTTTTGTGAACTTCACCACCGCAGTCGGTGCTGGTTAAGATCACAGAGTTGCTCAAGGATTATAAATGGGGTATTGTTAGGATGGAATCTGGGATTTTCACTTCAAAGAAGATATGTGAAATTAGCCCTGCAAAAATCAAGGGGAAAACTGCGCTGGTGAACTATTTCAATTCCAGGACTCATAATTCATATGTCGGACGACTGATTATCTGCATGTGAAGTTAATTTCTCCGTCGCGAAATGGGTGGCCGGGCTGTTCGGAGCCACAGACGGTCGGAAAGCTGGTAGGCCCTTTCGGGTCTCATTAGATCAGTGCAGGACTATAGCTAGGAAAGGATGATCAAGAATGGGCATGTGTTTTAGTTCTCAACCTGGGTTGAGATGTGGATTATCCAGTGTGAAATGGAAACATGGATCATATATGAACTGTTTCCTTCTCTTTTTCTTGTTAATTTTCATGTTGTAGTTCTGTTATATTAGTATCTATAAGATTTGCTTTGTCTGGCCAGTCATGGCGGCCGGGGTAATCTGATCATGTACGAGGCCGCCATGTAGATTGTTTGCTTAAACGGCTCAATCCTGGAAAAAGATCTAAGTTAAAACAGTTAAACGTTGAAATGTTATGCCAAAATGTATTTGACACGCAGTTGGCACACATTTGGCACACTTCTGGCACGTACGGATTCGTGGATCCCTGAAATAACCATGCCAAAATTCCTTGTGAACTGGTTTTGTGACAACCTATTTTGTACGGAGCTATCACTTATATAAAGAGTGTCTATTGTAGCATCCATTTTGTAGCACAATAGAAATTGCTACAATATAATTAATATCTATTGTAACATTATTATACTAGAGAATGCTACAATAAATTGATAAATTGCTACAATACATCTATTGTAACACCACTCAGATGCCGCTGGGGGCTGCCGAGGCTCGACGGGGGTAGAATGTGGATAGTGGACCGACGATTAGCTTGATTTCTCTCCGGCTGCCGGACGACTCAAATGCAGCACACTAAAAATGCTACACCTGATATATTGCGACATTTTTTACACTTTTTTTTTTTTTTACCCCGGAAGGCAAACCACCAAAATCAGTGGGGCAGAAGCCGGGGGGTCATCTGCCAGAATTTTATTAATAAAAGATAGAAACATACAGCCAGAGAAGGGGGCCAAACCAAACTTCTCTAAAAAATCAAGCATAAGCAAAAATACATCAACAAACAAAGAAAGAATTAATAAGTAAATCGCAAGGAAGACAGCCCAAATAAATCTGAGTAGTAAGCATTTCGAGCCTGAGTAGGAAGATCCGCCACATTAGAGATAATAATGGGCCGGCCCATATCAGCAGAGGCTAAATAGTGTGCCGTCCAGTTGGCCTCTCTCAAAACACCGGAATAGGAAACATCACTCTCTTCAGACAGCTCCATTAATCGATTAACCTCGTTTCTTCTCCTTCCAATCCTACTTCGCTGCAGATACTCCAACACTTCCATGGCGTCGATCTCAACTTGGAAGCTACGAAACCCTAGGGATATCACCCACGAGGTAGCATGAAGGACAGCAACATTTTTTACACCTATTGGAACATTTTACATGTGCTACAAAAGTCATACTTTATTGTAGTGTGTGCCAAAAATCTATGTTGGATTCATCTATGAAGAATTCACATCAGTCACGTTCACTAGACTTTAGGAAATGTTAATTGTTTTCACTGTGATATAAAATTTATTTTGTACCTAAGAGACAGATTAAACAACGGTGGGAATGAAGCTATGTAATTGAACAAATGGAATGTTAGGGTAAGGGGCTAATCGAAAGGGTGTTTCGAACTTTTGATGATTTGTTCTTCATGAGTTTGATGTTTTTGAGACTTTTGATGATAGGGGTGTTTTGTTCTTGCTTCTTTTTAAAAAGTAGAATCAGAATTACTTTTTCAGAAGCTAGTATATCCCAGCTTAAAAAAAATCTTCTAGGAGTAATGTGAAACATCCATGAGTACTTCTGCACTTTCACCCAAATACTCCATAAACTTGATTGTTTAAGAAGCAGATCCAAACACCCCTAAACTTGATTCTTTTGGGTATGAGGCATGTTTGCTTTGTTGTGAACATTCCAATTTTGAAACAAAATATTCCATAAAATATTAAAAAAAAAAACTCTATTGTACTGCAGTTTGACTTGATTCAATTTTCTTAGTTTTAATTTGACATCAATTTCTTTTATTTATGGCATTAATTTCGTAGTTAAGATTTCCGATTTCATTAAATTAGTGATTTCATTTTTGTTTGAGAGGAATTTCTGATTTCATTAAAAACTCATGTTTTTGTGATTTTGGATATTGGCTTCATTTTTTGCTAAATTTATGGCAGAAAAGTTATATTTTGACATTGATTTGGAAGTATTGCCAACTATGAAATATATGGCAGATTTACACATGATAGGGATAAGGGTCAGATAGGGCCTCGAACTTGAAAAAAATGTCAAATAAGGCCATATTTAGGATGCTCTGTCCGGCCGACGCCATATGGGGCGGTTTCCGGTGGATTTTTTTGATGAAATTGTTTGAGAATCTTATTCATTAAGTCTAGTTTACTCATATCAAATTTGAATTAAAACTTCAATCGGGAAGATGTAACACCATCCCCAAATGTACTTACTTTCAAGTAAATGATGTAATAAACCTTATGGAATGATTTACGAATTTACGGAGTTGTAAATTTTTATTATTTCTTTCGCGTGAATAGTAAATTGCACGTCGGACCCACACCGGGAGCGGGGGCCGCCCGATATTCCCGAGATCACATAAATTATTCTTATGGGTCGAAATAATATTTATATAGTGATGGACATCTTATTTGGGCCATGGGAAGGCCTGGGGTTGACCGGTTGGTCAAAAGAAGCCCAATTACCGGTACCGACAATTTAACAGATAGCAGCCCAGAAATGGATTTCGGAGACTTCCAAATTAAAGTTTTGGAATGTATATCTTTCTATATACAAACTGTTGTGGAACACCAGCAAGAATTCCCGCCCAAAAAAAGGGTCAACAATTCGGATCCAGGTCAAAAACGGGTCTACCAATAAAGTACAATATTTCAGCCGCACAATTACTTTCTGCTGCATAGGGAGGCCGCATGGTAGCATTTATTATGGTTACAATGAGTCTTTTCAAATCTTTTTGAACATTAAATGCAAAGTAGTGGGTAATTTGTAATGCATCGGCCTGATTTCCAATTTCAAAAGGATTTGCATTAAATGATATGTACTTTCATATCTTCTTGAGCCAACCAAAGTATAAAATAAAATCTTTAAAGTACATAGCATTAATGCTAGGCAACAATGAGGTTTGAGTTCGAATTTTAATTTAAAAATATTGAACAAAAAGGGTGAGAACCATTGCAAGTCATCCAGTATAAATAAGGTTCTTGGGTCAGCTTATTTTCCATCCCACACAGCATCATCCATTCTTGCAACAAAATTCAATGGCAGCAAACCAAGGACAGTTCTCATTTCTCAGGGACTTGGATCACACCAAGACAACTTGGGCGATCAAAGTGAAGGTTGTGAGAGCTTATGAAATGCCACCTCAGTCCAGGGGAGGACAGAGGATAGAGTTGGTTTTCATTGACTCCCAGGTAAGTTTGAATACGCTATCAGCAGATTGAGTTTAAAAGTTCAAGCTATTGCATCTAGAAGATGATTCTGTATATTTATCTCACAAATTAAATATGCAGGGAGACAAAATTCACGGTTTGATAAAGAGGCCTCAGCTACGTTTGTTTAGGTCTAAGATTGCAGAAAACGGGGTTTATGCAATTAGGGATTTCTTGGTGATGGATAACTACTACACTTACAAAGCCACAAACCATGCCTACTTGATCGAATTTTATGGCAAGACTATAGTTAAGGATATTAATCCTGACATTGTGCCAAACAGTGTGTTTGAATTTCAGCCATTTGAGGTTCTACAAACCTTGAGGGTTGTTGATGATAAACAACTAATTGGTAATATTTAACTGAATCTTTTCTGAAAAATCATTAAATTACTAAACAAAAGTAAAACATATTTACTTGAAGTTTTAATGTACTAGATGTTATTGGAAAGGTGGTTAACAAGTGTACAGCTCAGAACCTTATCATCAATGGTAGGGGGGAGAGGCTCATGGAGCTCGCTCTTGAGGACACAGAGTAAGTATAAGACATGTTGAACAATGATTTACAAACTGGACATTAAAAGATGTCAAACACAGATGGAAAAATAACTATCCATTGTACAGAGGAAACCGGCTGGGCTGCACTCTATGGAACAGCTACATTGACAACTTTCTAAACTACTACGAAGATCACAAAGAGGAAGGGATTTTTGTGATTGTACAGATGTGCAGGGCAAGACGCTACAAAGGTAATATTTTTTTTATTTAATTTACAGCAACCACTATGTGTATTATGCTACTGAACCACTTTGTATTTCAGGCACCATATCAGTTGGTACCTCATACGATGCTAGCAAGCTAATAATTAATGGAAACACGAGTGAGCTGGTGGACTTCAAGGGACAGTATGTGTTTACCATATTCCAAATTTATGAACAATAAACAAATTTCAAAATAGAAGAATTGTCAAAAAATACATAAATTACAGGTTCCCAGCAGAGGAGAGGGACAATGGTACTTTGACTACAATTGCTGCTAATTCACAAGTCGAGAGTCGAGAATATATTCTTGGAGGAAATCTGACTGTAACAGCGATTGCTGATTTGGTTAAAAAAAAACAGAGGTAATAATGGATATAACTGTAACAAATAAAATTCAAATATGAACAGCTTTTTTTTGGATTTAAATATACAGGAAGGAGTGTACTGGATCTTGGGGGATGTAGTCTCAATTGAAAACTTTAGAGAATGGTGTTACTTGAGTTGCAAGACTTGCAACAAAAAACTGCAAGCAGATGATGAAAGATTTGTGTGCCTCTACTGCAACCTAACACTTCCAGACGGAATTTTAAGGTATACAACATTTTACCTTCATGGCTGTGAGAAGATGTTATTCTTAATAACATTTTATATTATTATTATTATCATAGGTACAAAGTGACTGTGTGCGTGATGGATGATTCCGGTCATTCATCATTCACACTTTGGGATAGGGATTGCTTAGACATGCTGGGCAAAACAGCATCCGCCCTAAGGGCTGAAGTTGAGCAGGTGTATAAATTGTGATATCTCCTATTGATGGGTGAATTATGTTTTGTTAAATGCAAATATGAGAAATAATTTGTTACAAACTTATATATAGAGAACTGGGGATCCAACACATTTCCCTGAAGACATAGAGGCAATCATAGACAAAAGAGGATTGTTTAAAGTCCAAATAAAAAACAAGGCTGAGAGTAGTTCTTATAAAGGTCCTATCTCCTATGGTGTGATCACAATGATAAGGGACGAGGAAGTCTTGAAAGTGTATGAACATCCAAAAGAGAACGGGAAAGGGCTGGAAGAAATTTCTGACATGGAGAAGGTACAAGAATTACACAGATTGTGTTCATATTTAGAAAAGAATGAAATCTTATACTCTACTTTTTATTTACGAAACGTTAATTAAATATATTTCAATTTCAGAGCGGCGGCTCGACAACAGACAACTTGGAGGGAAGCATGCCCCAAAAAGTTGACATTGTTGACCTAGATAAGGTATATTGGTTATGGTCCATGAACATCAAAATCCTGGACTTTTTGGCAATGCTAATTTTGAATTGTACCTTTTTGAAACAGGAAGGAGAGGATGGTGTCACCCCAACACAAAGTAAACGTAAAAGTAAGAGAATTGAAGAAGAAGAGACTCTGAAAAGGAACTTGATGGGGCAGTTTTCTACCAACGGGAAAAAGTTGAAGACCAAAATTAAGAAGGAACCAGAATAGAGGAGCTGAAAGTTATTATTATGGGGCTACGAATTGAAGACTTTATGTTTTGCTAAAAGTATTCACGAAAGTGAAAAACAATTACTTTGACTTCTTTTTGCCTAAACATGACATCTATGGAGTCATCTCCATTGGAACCTTGGTTGTAATTATTCGGATGTGTGGACTGTGGACCATCCTAATTTACTGTTATGTTTTGCATGTGGTCTATATGTGTGATATATTTTTTTTGTGCAGGTGATCTATTTCCTAGAGAAAACGGTACAAAAAGATGTGACGATCCTAATTTACTGATACATTATTCATGTGTGCTGTATGTGTGGCATGTCTATTATTTTGCAGGTGGAAGAAACTGGATTTGGTACAAAAGATGAAGACGATGGAAGAAACTGAAGTGTTGCTATCTTTGGAAAAATATGTCGGGAAATCATATGTAATATGCAAGTATCATGTTAGAAAGTTGGGGGATTATAATTACTTGAAATTTGACAAAGCATGTAATCCCAAAATGTAATTTTCCCAAAATGTAATTTTGAAACAGAATGTTCATTTCTATATGAAATTGAGTTTCCTATCATTTATCTATTGCCCCACAACTTTGGAAACAAAAGGCTCTATGCAGTGATCAATGTGTGAAGTTTGAGGGCTCATTCCTATTGTTACTTTAGTGTCACAATGCAAACAATTTCTAAGATAAGTGCATAACTCAAAAATGAAAAAGATAATGAATAAGAGGGATAGGTTTTTGATACCTGTATAAAAACTTGGCTGGGCAAGATGACCTGCACTTCCTAATTTCAACTAATTAACTATTACAGACCAAAAAACAATTACATGATTGGCAACCTTCTAAAGGTTCCAGAATCTATGGCCTGTACAGAGATCTACATGACTTATACAGAGCATGCTAAACTTCAAATGGACACCAAAGCCCTGCAAAATTTAAGATCAATAACATTGTTAAGTTGGAATTACATACTTCGAAAAATCCATGTGTCAATGACTTAAGCAATATTATAAATGTAATTGTATATATGAGTGTTGGATTCATAAATATAATAAATATAATTATATATTGAGATCAATATATACAAATATATAATATATAATATAAATAGTTATATAACAATTACCTATATGTATGCATATCTAAAACTTAAGTGTAATAAAATAGATTTTTATATTATAACTAAAGATATGAATATATAGTCAATAATGGTTAATTTCATGAATACAAATGTAATTACACATAGATATAATATATGCTTTACAAACTCTAAAGATAGACCTCTGTTATTTAAATTTTAAAAATTAATACTTATTATGAGACTTTGTTAAAAAATTTGAGGTAATGAAAATAGTGGCAAATCATGAATAATGGTTAATTTCATGAATATATGTATAAGTATACTTATAACCATATTAAAAAAGAACTTTTTATATTAATTTTTTAACATAATAACATACTTATATATATAACGTATATACCGAAATGGATATATTTTCGACAGATGTAATAATAACATCTGTTTTATATTAATTTTTGAACATAATAACATACTTATATATATACTCATAAGTACCTATATGTATACATATAATAGAGTTTTATGAGAAACTTAAGTAATAAAATACATTTTTTTATCTTTAACTGAGGTTACAACTATAAACTCAATTATGGTTAATTTCATCAATACAAATATAAATACACATACATATAATAAATGCTTTACTCAAGCACTATCATATTTAAATATTTGAAAATACCAACATCTTGATGGTAAATATAATATACAGATACAATATGTAATAACATACACACACACACACACATATGTACCGACCTGCTTTAGAAAGATATACAAATATAAATATGTTATTCTAATAAGTAATGTATAAATATAATAGCATTTGATAAAAAACTTATGTATAATAAAATTTACATTACATCTTAAGGATCTATTATTCCAGAAAAAATAGCCTGTCCTAAGAATTATATTTAAACTGCGTATTATTGGCATTAAAGTGCATTTTACTGATTTAAAAAAAATAACAATATACATGTAACATAATCAAAACTCTATGTCATTACTTGATAGATACTTGGTGAAAGTATTAAAATGCATATCTCCATCTAACATTACTCAAAATACTATTTACAAAATGCAAAAATACAGTGATTCCGTGTGATTTAAAACATGCCAACTGTGGTCATTTAAAACAATAAATATTGTCCTATATATTGAAACCATATGTTGGTACAGCTATGTTCCTGATAATGTTTGCTAATTACTCTTGAAGTGCAACATGTGGCATTTTAGTGTTAAGAATGGGCATCTAGAAATAAGGTACTTTTCATTTTACAAATATGCATATGGCAGTGCACCTGTAAAACTTTCAATAATTTTTGGGGGTAATACTTTTACACGTAAAAGATATATTCTGTTAGGTTATAATGTATGAACAAAAATAGCAAAAGGCACTTAATTTTGACTCAAACAGTAATGGAAAATTGTGTTGAGGAAAAATAATAAATATTTTTCAATGCCACGTTACATTTCAAGATTTTCAAGCCATTCTATTTCTTCCTAAACATGCTGGACCAAGCATTTTTTTTTTAAATTACCAGGCCCAACAAAAGGAATTTAAGGACCTAGCAAAAAATATGTAAAGCCACAGCTCAGGATAAATCATTTGAACAAAATTACTTAAGAGAAGATTTAGAGCTGAGCAATAGGCAACAAGTTATAATAATGAAACAACATTTAATGCAATGTACTAAAATATCTTTGCTCTCAGAAGAATATCTAATGCATTGTTGTACTATATCTGTACTTTTTTAAAATATATCATATTTCGGCTGCTGCACCTCTCAAAACATTAATGGTTTACCATCATCACATATCCACGGCACCAGTAGGGTGGTTATAGAGTGCTCAATGAAAATAGTACAAATAGTTGTGAGAAGAAAATCCGTACCTTTGGTCAATAACCTGCACAATCGGATACCATATAAGAAGTTCAAAATCTTTTTATAATTCAAACAGTGAACTGCCAGGCATTAATTGCAAGTCAGTAGAGCAGCATT